TTATAATTTTACACCACCAAACTACCCAATTTTAAATTCTACATTTTTTCCCAAGAAATAATGACAGATTCTTAAAGAAACCCAATTCTGTCATATTTTACTTAAAATTACAGGGAAAAAAATAGTAATTTCAATTAAGTCTTTGACATCTTAATGTTTCAACAAATTTCTGTGATTTATCAATTTAGGTATAATACACATGTCATACACAAGTAGACAAATACATCCCTTTCATGCCATTTTATGATTATGATTGCTTTTAATATCATGCAAGAAATGTCAAATGTCTGGAATTGATCTGCTTAGTTTTTTATTGTAGCACACATTATTACTGATATATTGAATATATGAGGGTTGGCTGAAAAGTTTTAAGTTTTATTTTAAAGGACTTATACTAAGTATTTAATTTCTCTACATATCCTAATTCCAGGTTAACACTTTTGCTAGCAGTGCTGCAATGTCTGGATGCAGGGGAATAAAAGAAAAACGAAAATGACATCATCATAACTATCTGATCTGCAGTCAAGAGCTTTGATACCCATCTTGCAAGATGATCTGGTACAAAGACAATATCAACACTATAGTTCTTATGTCTATGATTCATTAAATGAGTGTTGGCCCTATTTGTTGATAGAAAAAGTTTCAATCTGATTCAGGTATCCTTCCTAGACTTAGAACCTTTCAGCCAACCCTCGTAACATTAACAAAAATACAGGTAGGCGGTTCATTCTCTAGAACAAAAATAATCATGTACTCTTACGTTTAATTAAATCAATATCTTTAGTTTCTGATGGCCAATTTTTCAATTTGTCTGATGTAAATGGGGAGATGAACTATCTTTCAACCAAATTATGTGAAAACAGCATATAAATAAGGTTCTACTTTTCAATAAAGCTCACATCAAATCTTGGTATCCATCTGTCTACAAGCTTAGACATACGTTTCTGTATATAATTTCTATATAAGGGGAGACTAATCTATTTTCTTACCTCTTTTAGTTCTGTTCCATTTCTTACATTCATATACATCAACTCTATATTTTGGATGTATAGGGCAACTTTGACCAACAACAAATACTGCTTTACTGAAAAAACAATATACGTTTCATAATATTTCTGTGGAGGCTAAAGTGCTAACATAAGGAGTTAAAGCACGGCAATTGGCAATGGGTTTAAATATAATGCTCCTCTAAGATTATGTCATCATTTGTATATATACAGAGTTAATAAGCTTACATCTTAATTATGGCTGCTTAATCATTTTCATTTACAAGGCATGAAGAAGGTATAGCAGCACACAAAAAACTCATTACCTATCATTTCCTAGCTTACTTAGCCATGTTTCTCTGATGGCTTGTCTCTGCTCATGGTTGTCTCGTGCAGACAATATACATATACCTAACTTTAACTTTTCTTTCTTGGAAACTGAAGAGAAATTAATAGCATATATATAATAATAGCTTTCTGGTCTTTCCTATGTGCATCAAGGACAATAAAGCTTCTTTTTGCAACACTTGGATGTCCAGCACATCCTGTATTTCAAGAGGAAATTGATCAGATTATTCAAGAATTGAAGGAACCAATGTAGGCATATAATGTCTGACAAAATATCATAATGGTGCCCGTGGAAGCCTCTAACTGAATATGATGACTTGTAAGTGACTATCGAAAAACTATTGAAATTTTTCAGATAAAACCAGTATTGTGCTGCTTTAGGTTTGGCAAAAGAGAAAAAGTCACGATTATACAGGATTTGGTCATTGGCATAAGCCTAAATAAAAGGCGATATTACCCCATCTTAGCAAGTGAGATCTTATGAGTAAGAAATAGTTGAATAGAAAAGAGCACAATCAGAATAGAGCAACCCTGATCAGAAAACAAGATTATAGAAGAACAGAACGGATGTCTGAAACATCTACCTCTATTCCAGCCTCTAATAGCTAATGTGACAGTTGTCGACAGGAGTTGGGTCAGAAAAATGTGGGGATTTTCACACACCTTCAAAAGTGATGGGTTTTAAACATATTTGTTACCTTATATCCACCAAACCCTGATATATTGGGCATTACCACTACTTTTGGTTGTGTGGCACTGAACAGTCTGCAATGGGGAGGAGTTTGATTAAAAAAAATGTTCAATGGAACTGCAGAAATGACATAAATGGTTTGCTGATGGTGCGGAAAATTCCAACAAAATATGGCCTAGTTTTTCTGACTCTGCACCAACGGGCAACTGACAAAATATCTCTATCACTAGTACCAGAGGCTGTAATCGAGTCAGGCAAATGTTTCGGACTAAGAACAGAGAAAAACAGAGCAAAATTATTTGATTGACAACCTACTGACTATAATCAGATGACAGTTATCAGATATGCAACAAAATAAATGATTAGAGTAAGAGGTTTCGGACTACTAATTATTGTACTCAAAATAACAACAATCTACTTACAAAATTGCAAAACAAAAGGGACAAATATGTTTCCCTTGTAATCTACTGCAAAAATAACTACACAAATGCTAATGACAACCCAAAATGTTCTTTCCATTGCACATTAAATTTTAGCAAAAAATAAATAAATTCATAAATTTTTCTCAGTAATTTGAGTTAAGCGCCACCTGTAAACACAGTCCAGATTTACCAGGCGGAATGGCAAATTCTTTTCTGCTCGGCACAAAACCAGACCACAGCAAATTAAAGTAATCATTATTTTTCCATTACCTTTTTTCAGACACCCTGGGGCAATGAAATATGAAATAAAACACGAAGATTGCTAAAAAAATCTTTTTATAAAAATGCTCATAAATTTCAAAATAGCACTATGACACTGCGAGTGTGGACATTTCATCAACTAAATGTCATTTTGATCATCATTACTTTTTGAAGGCTATTTTCTGAATCACATAGTTCCAAAATAATTACTAAGATTCCATTTACCACCAAAAATCCAAAGACAGTACTTTCTCCACTTTTGCAAAAATGCCAACATCATTGTAGGGTGAAACAAAAACAATTTACAATTACACATTTTTTTATTTCACAGCTTTACAAAATCAAGTCATAATATTTTGATATTTCATTATTAATCATTTTGAATAATAATCATAATGAGACAATAATCATAAATATACAAACACAAAACATATATATCACAGTTTTTTATCATATATATTTTAATACAACATTCATTATTGAAAATATCTATGGTTTCATTAAGCTTTTTCCATGTCAGTCTCTCTAAACTCCATCACTGACAGGGGGAACTGTGTTACATAACATTCTCTTTGACCAATTGAAACAGGTATGTAATACATTAATCACTGTTATTACTTGGTAATAGTGAATGCATATAGTCATGCAACAATTTATATAGTAGGTATGATCAATAATAAATGTTATATAAATTATACAAGTATTTAAAATCAATCATGACATACTATCACAATTAAAAAGATATTACATTTTAACTTAGGCGTCTAAGACTAAGACAGAAATGTCAAAAATTTTAACTTCACACCATTATAAATTTACTAAATATGACTGTTAAATCATCAGTGGTCTTAGTGAAATATTAAGTTATGATATTTTTGACAACATGCTCTAGTTATTTATATGAGTATTACAGTTTAAAATGGTAATTTAGCATGACATCCAACCAATCAGTCTTCAACAATTTGGTCCTGATTCATTTCTATAATTACGACATGATAGATTTAAGATTGTTATTTCTTTCAATTTCAATATACTGCAATCAATTTACATGGTGGTATTAAAGATCTTATACCAATTAGACTAAATTTCAAGTCATTTTATATTGAACATGGAATTCTCAATTTGAGATAGTCTTTGTTTACCAGTAACAGCACAAAAAATAACATTTTAAAAATATATATACAACATACATAAATAAAATTCTAAATAAATAAATACATTATTAAGTAGTTGTTTGTTCAATATTATTTTGTAACTAACTTTTAAAGCTTATCAAATATAGAATGTAAAATAATTTATACAGTTCTAACATTAGATATGAATTGATCCTGTTTAACCAGGGTTTGAATTTCACCAAAAAATGTCTTTGATCTTTAAAAAAGTGGATCTGAGTAACGTATCCAATACTAAATTGTGACTATTTATTTATGGGTATAGTGGAAAAAATATATTCTTCTTGTCTATATATTTTGGTAGAGATTGATTTTGTGAGTAATAGTAGTTTTTCAACATTGCCCACTTATCTAACTTATCCTGTTTTTTGCAAGATTCACAAGACAGTAATCTGATACTTGAATTCATATATTCTGCAGATTCAAAGGGTACAATATGACAAATCTAGGAAAGAATACTGCAAATAGCAGTTCATTGACAGCTGCGAAAGCCTAAACCTGGATATCTATGGTGACAAGTCCTCAGAAGGTAGCCAGTCTAATATTTTTACCATGTAGAACCTTCTATACCAAGACAAAAGCAATTAACAGCAGTATTCATGGACGGTTGATAATGACTTGAGCAAAAGGAATAAACAGATGATGATGGTTTACAGATGAATATATAATCAATTACATCAAATCATAGATAATGCGGAGATGAATGAATGAAATGTGAAGGAATGAATAGATAAGAAGTTATGTTGATAGAGGATCAAAGCACAAATAAACAGATGGCACATTAAATTTTATACTAGGAAAGTTTAGTTTAATGAAAAATATGTTCTGCAGACAATTTTAAAACAAAAGCCTTTAATCCAAAACATATATCAAAGTAAAGTCCATTAATTTTTAAATGCAATGCAAACAATTGGTACAGTGCAGATGTTGAATTATGCCAGTTACGTATAGCCAATTTTTCTGTAAATAGTAAATAGTCAGGTATATCCGTAATTCCAAAATTTAGATTTTTACTACCAAAAATACATATACATATACATATATGTAAAGGATACCAGAAAATTGATCAGGATTTAAAACCCCAACTTTGTTATCTTACAGTGCCTTATTGATAGTAAGTTTATAATGTAGGGACTGACAAGGGTCGAGAAGAGAATATAGGATAACCTAGAGGTGGATCTGCAGCTTGTACTGTTAAATTACGTAATATTGTAGGATGTGCTTGAATACTGTATCTCTCTTCATCATCATTAGTCAGATAGAGTAATTCTAAACTGAGGTTAGCCCATTGTCCCTTTACTACTTCTTCATTTAGTCTACCAATATGTACCATAACTTCTTGTAGTGATAATATTCTACTACTATATGTTCCCTAAAATATACAAACTATCACATTTAATATACAGATATCACTTATTTTCTACTACTGTATGTTCTCTATAATATACAATACATTACATTTAATAATATACAGATATCACAGTTTATTTTCTACTACTGTATGTTCTCTAAAATATACAATATATCACATTTAATATACAGATATCAAAACTTATATTCTAACCTCCCTTCTATGATTTAATTTTCTTTAGCTTAGAAGATTCATAAACCTATGTCTTATAAAGCAGTCAAATCCTCACCTGTATTGAGTTATGTCCTAAAGAAAATAAATTTTTCTTATTATCAATAATACCAGATTTCCATTCCTCCTCACTCTCTAGTCCAATATACCAATTATCATCATAATCCTCTAGACATTCTCTTAATTCCTCATTATTATCAATATCACCCATCAACATATGATCTATCATCAATTTAAACCCATATCTATACAAATCAGAGAAAAACATTTTAATAAAGATATCCAGTTACCATTTGTTTAAAATACAACTCTCTATATCCATACTTTTGTCCATTGAAGTATCAGTGTAAAAGGTAGCCAAACATGGGGATTATAAAGTCTCAGCTACCCATTAAAGGTAATATAAAAGGGAAGGGAAAGTTATCATGGTAGTTTACCTGAAAGCCTTGATAACCAAACCATACAGTTCTTTATCTTCTGCTAACCAGTCTACCATAGCATTCCATGGTACATCACCAATGTAAGTTTTATACTGACTACTAGGTCCGTTATATCTCCCTATAATCATACACAGCAGAAACATTTATATAGATAATTATTTTAAAAGATACACAACTTTTTTCAACCAAGTTACATTAATAAAACTTCTATTCGAGCTCTGAATTCCACAACTGGACTACAGTAATGAGTTGTGTAATTCATCGAAAGTTTACTAGAATAAGTCTAGTATTAGTTTTTTTATAACAAAATTTCAAGATGCATACACAGAACAATTGTTTGAATCTTGTCTCCACAATCGATCCTGAAAAAATGAACATATATATTTACCTTGAAGATCAAATCCAGAGTAACAAGCCATAATAAGTTGAGAATAACAATTAGTCAAAGCATCATCGGCAGCAACTTCCAAAGCAACCTTCTCTGATGGACAACTTATACCAGACCAATCTAATGTTGACAACACATACTTATACCATTCTGTGGGAAATTGACTAATGTGTCTTGATAATTGAGAATACTCTATTGGTAGTTCTCTCCACTTGACTGGTAAACTGATGTGAGCAGAATACTGACATTTAAAGTCTGGCGACCCTGCTAAATTGGTGACTGGTTTGTAGATGTGATTGTTTGAATTTGTTCGTTTGTTTGAAACTGGCTTGGAGAAGAGTTGGGTCTTTTGGGTCTTCTTGTTCACATCAACTGCTGGCATACCAAAGTCCAAATCCTCTAAAATATTATCAATTTCTTCATCATATGGACTAGCGGTTTTATGTCTGGAATAATCATTTATAGGTGAGGCAGCCATCCTACTTCTAGTAATAGGAGTATTGAGATTTCTGGATGAATTGATTACAGGAACATTGATCTTCTTTTTATCAACCCTCTCAAATTCATCATCAGACCAAATACTGTCAGTAAAACTATGTATTGAAGATGTCTGGGAAGGCTTTCTCCTCTTTTTGAATGATAAAGCAGATGCAGGTCTAGAATCACTGTCTACTGGTGTCAAATCATTCTTAATAGAAGATTTAGCAACTTGAGCATGAGTTATTGTTGTATGCCTTGTATTTGTGTGGTTATTTAAATCTGATTTTTGATTGTTGTGGTTAATTTCTGATTTAGATTTTCTTCTGGTTGAAATCTTCTGTGTTCTCTCTGCTTCTAAAATTTCTTTCTCCTTATGAGCCATAGCTCTTTCCTTCTGCTTTTGTGTTTCTTTGTTCTCTGTGATTTTTCTTTTGTTGACATGATGAAGTACAACCCAGATGAGACTTTTAACAAAGTAAGACATTGTTATTGGGAAGCTATCTGGAGAGTCTATAATACCAGTAAGTACATTTCTAGCATCAGAGTAGGTCTGGACACCTACAGCATCAACTGGTGTTAAGGAATGTAATGGATAACTATTAAACCCACAAGCGCCTGAGTTTTCTCGTTCAAATGCCATTTCAAATATATCATCCAGTCTGGCTGCCTCAGCTGTATGACATGATGTTTCTTGTAGTTCTAAACCTTTAATATTGACTGTACAATAGGCAGTACCACGTTCTAATATTGTAAACCATGCTAGTCTATCTTGATATCTTACCATATAATGATTACCAGGTTTTGCTTCACCTAGAATGTCAAGTCAATAATTTATCAATTTCAGAATGATAAAATGATAAAACTGCAAACTTTTATACTTGCTTTAGAGTCGGCTATAAATGCTTCAGACTTCTTCTTTTTGTTCATCTATATATATCTTATGTACTACCTAATCTTTCTGCTTTAATCAAATTAGATCCAGTTATTTTAGCATGTGCATATTATTCAACTGATAATCAAGCTTTCACCAGCAAAAAAAGCAGACTCAACCAAGCAGATTTGCAAAGTAAGGTTATTTATTGTTCAAACACTTACCTAAACTACCATCGGCAAATGCCTTGCGAATAGCTTTAGCAAACACTGGAGCAAATTGCTTATAATATACTGAATCACCACAAACATTGGCAGAGGCACCTACAGATTCTGGCCAGAAGCGGCTAGGACGAGGGAATGCAATAAAGAATATTGGCAAAGTAAATAAAGGCAGAAGTGGAGAAGATAGAATAGAGGCAGCAAAGAGAATAACCAAAACAACAGGAAAAAATAGAAAAGATACAAAAATAACAAAAGCTGTGGATTTCCGTCTTTGTTTTTTATCAAGCCAGGATGAAAAGAGAAGTGAAAAAAAGAAAAATAGCTTGTTAGTTATTTGGAACAATCGATCCCGACACAGTCCAATGATTAATAATAATACAGGAATAGAAAGAGTAAGAAGTGTAGTATTCGTAGAGCCCAGGGTTACGTATATTAAATGCAGGGCAGACATTTCTAGTAATGCATTCACTGTAGACTGCCATATCTGAAAAATACAAAATAAAAACATTTTTTAATATCACATCTTTAAAAAGTTTTCTGTTTCTTTAATAAGATAGCAACATTATGCCTAGGTAGTTTAATCACTATAAAATTTGACAGACTAACATGTGAAATAAAAACATGACCAAAAGAGTTTGTATCAGTTTTATCAGAAATATCATTTGCAGTCATATATTCAGATAATTGATATTAAAGAAATACCTACTGTTCTAAAGGCTCTTACTACACCAAATATATACCATATTGAGAAATATAGTTGTTGCCCTTGTATAATTGATATCTTTAAAACATCGGATTGTGTTACAGTTAATGAAAGATATGCTAACATTACAAATGGTGCCACTGAAAGTAAAAAACAATATATTATTGTTACTGCCATGAAGAATGTCCTTATTCTCAATGTATTCGAATGTGAAAGTCACCAGATGACAATCAATCAAAAGCAACACATTCTAAAGAGCTTACATCTGATAGAGAAGAATTTGTTTACTTACCCCAGTTTACAACAAGTCGTCTGACAAGACCAAGGGGAAATAACTGCTTTTTTCTTTCATGAAATATTCTTTCCCTCTGAACAGTGATTGGAAACAGAACATTTCGCAAAAGTCCAAAAAATAGGTATACTGATTGAGATTCCCGAAAAATCTTTTCAACAATACATAATCCAATAATAATATAACCAAAGACATCACGATATTCTGTAGTCAGAGTTCTCCAGTTATAATTCAAGAGACCAGCTTCGACTCCAACTAACACTACCATTACAAAATGATAGAGGAATGTTGTTGGCTTCCATGACCACAAAAATCCTTTCACTTCTGATGTAGAATTGACAGCCTTGCTTTGAGATACAACTGAAACTCTATTTTTAGTCTGGGTCTGATAATATGACCATATTTGAGTTCCAAGACCACCCAAATCTGTACTAAGAATATAGCCGAAGCAAGCAGCTATGACAACAGACACTAGAGATAAGGGTATATAATAAACTGCTATATACACTCCAGTTGATAATATAACCATACATAGTAATCTGGAAGTAGAGAAATAATGAACTAGATAAAAATCTGATTCTATAAACTAGCGATCCAGATATCATTAACGTTTATTTCAATAGTGCCAGTGCATCACATAAAATACGATTCAGTAGATTGAAATGTTTTATGTTAAAAGAATTTCGCATGGTTTAAAACATCAATCAATGAAAGTTTCTCATCTTCATGTCAACAATTCAATAATTGTTTTTCCTTGGAAGCCATCTTGACAACATAATTTCATGATATAAAGAAGTTAGATGCTAAACTTAAATTAGAACCAACAGCATCTAGTCTTTTTTTCTATTCCTTTTACAAGCAATTTTGATAGCATATGTACATAACAGATAAATAAAATACATAACATACCTTGCATCTGAAGCCATGGGTGATCCTCCAAATAAAAATACATGTATTTGTTCTAATAACCATAAAAATAAACAATCTACAGGTGGCAATACACCTAATATCCATAAAACAGGTAAACAAACAAATACACCATGTAATATCTGAGTAGCTAATAAAAACTCTGGATAATACCTGAAAAATAAGTGCAATACAGGGAAAACTACTCTGCATGAAGGTTTTAAGTACCATATATTATTGCTGAAAAATTTCAGACAGTCATGATCATAATTCCAAGGCCCTCTCAGTTACATTGCCCCTTAGCATTGGGTATACATATTGGACATGTTATTATTGTAAATAATTGAATTTGATTAGATTATGGATTGTGAAGATATTTTAAATAATCTCTCAGCTAAAATTAGCTGCTTGTGGGACATTATTTTTCATTGATCCAAATATCTCGAGAATGGGCTCTGAATTTCCACAATATCAGCTGATAAGAAATACGCCTGAGATTATTCTATTTTTTCAATACTAAAATATAATGTTAATAGCCATAGCTTATATATAATCATCTTTTTAGCATTCTCTTCTTTTCTTTGGTAGCTTTTGAAAATTTTATGAAAATGTTCATGATTCAGAAATGTACAACTTACCAATATACTAAATGAAAGCTTGTACACAGAAGAACATAAAATGGCCTGGTGATAGGTGATATTTCCCAAACATCCATTGTTCTATACATAGCTAGTTCAGGTGGAGAGCCTGTAGTCAGTGGATACTGAGCTATACAAACAGTCAACCATCCCAATATATGAATGATACCAGTGGCCACATAATTATAATAATATAAACTATTTAACGTCCATGGCAATAGGTACCATAATGATAACCCACACATAAAACCTGACAGTACTGAATGAACCAGTATATTCAACTTGAAAGTTTTTGGTGGTATAATAAACTGAAATGTGTCACTTCCACAACAAGAATCAAACTCAATCTCATCTTCTTCAGCCAATAAATTTTGTTTCTTTATAAATTTGATGTCATCGTTCTGTTTAGCATGTTGTATAGAGCTAATGATCTGCATAACTAACACAAAACAAACTATACAAGCCCCATAGACTGAACAATACAGCAAAAGATAATTCTGAATAACATCTGCACTGTATGATAATTCTAGAGTCAATGTGAACGTTCCACCTAGAATCCATGGCATTATCCATATCAAAATCTGATTTAAATACACATAAGCTGGAGCATCATAGCCTAATCTCAATTTCGGACCACCTAAAATTGTCTGTGGTAATCTTTTCCAAAGAAATTCTTGTTTATATTCATTAAGTAATGGTACCCCACTTCCCATGATGAGGGTTTCCTGTTCACTGATTTAATTATTCTGTCTCTAAGTCTACAAAAGAAAATCATTAATTATTAAGTCTAATTAAGCTTACACATTTTGTTTACCGTAACCAAATGAAAAGAAACCTACCTTGATGGCTTTTAAAGTCAATGAAGTAACAATAACCAAAAAAATTGACATAGGCCTAATCAGGAAAGGAAAAAAAATCCTAAAAATTTATAAATCTTATAGGCCTAGGCTATAGAGATCAGATTTATAATAAAACCAAAATAATGCTTCAGACTTACAACAGAATAACAATATACGGTATTAAATGATGATCTATTTCATTCCATGTATCACCTTAGACTGAATCAGAATGATGCTAGTTCCAGTACTCTTTGATTAAATTTGCTTCTTGACCTACTTTTAAGTAGGATAAATAATGGTGCCAATGAACCCTTATTCTTTCCTTTGTCTTGACCAAAACCAACTGCTTTGACCTGTTTTATTGCTGGGAGAACTGTTAAAAAATATAAGCTCATTAAACACACACATATTGGCTATGGGTTGTATGTGTTCTGCTAAATGAATGTTTTATTTACCAGTAAAAAGATAAATATATTACCTTATCTTATTTTAACGATGAAAGATATTCAAAACGAATACCATTGTTTGGCCGTCAACGACATTGATTACTATTTATTTTGCTTCCATTCTTGGCATTTCTAAAGCTCAATGATTTAATTTCGAACCTTGAAATGTTTCATCGAAAATCAGATAAAAAAAAAATAGCAAATATAATAAGGTATATTTTGAGGAAAAACTAACTCTGAACATCCAAATTGAATGATGTCAGCTACTTAAAAAATGCATACGAAAGTAATAATAAATGTATACAAGAAATATCAAAGGGACTTGAGAAAGACTGAAACACAATGAAAGCAGTTTTTGCATAATTATAATGGATTTGATTGTGCGAATGAAAACATTCAAAGCCATTTTAGCGTGCAGTGAAGAAAATTTTTATTTTCAATAGGACTCGATTTATTGAATTAATGTTGGCTATAAAAAAAATCATTACCCTTGTGAAAAAAAATGTTTTGGGTTTTAATTTGGTTTAAAACGCGACGCATCCTATTATGGACCAGGTTAGAAAATTATCAAGTCCCTGTGTGGTAAATAAACAAAATGGCTGTCCCCTCAGTCACTGTCAGTGTTGAACCAGTAATAGAGAATAAAATACAAGAAGTTAAGCTCGATGGACAAGAGATTTATGTTGCGTAAGTTTGGGTTTTGAATGGTAGTCATTGTCAATGATTGAAACAGCTCTTTAATCAATGTGCCTAAAATGTCGCAAGAAAATCTGACATGCAAAATGGTGTCTGTAAAATGCCAAATTTTAGTCTTTTAAGAAAAGACCAAACTTGCTTTTATATGAGACAAGATCTAATATCTGTTTAAATTGCTTTTGTAGTTATGAAACCTAAACTTAGCATATCTTTCCATGTCATTGAAATGTAAGGTTGTTTAAAGTAGTTAAATTCACAAAACTCTTCAAGTCAGTAGGCCTAGGCCTATCCTATGCCAACTATGCCTGTTGTTCATTTTAATTTATTGTTTTCCAGACCTTTGTCTATGTCAGAAAATTTGACCAAACTTGCTCATAAAATAGATTTTTACAAAGATGAAAGTGATGAAAAAGGAAAACCCACATCAGAAGGAGAAAAAGAAGAAGAAGATGAAAAGGTGTTGGCTTCTTTTCAACCGTCATTATGGCCGTGGGACTCTGTTCGAAATAAGTTGAAGTAAGTAATTTTTATCCCAAAGGATAGTCCGAGAAACTGTCACCCTAGTTTGTTGCTTGCTCTCCCAGAAGACATAATTCTAGTTTAGTTGCTGAAAGCTATAGCAAAATATTAACTTGCAAAGCGTAGCTTAAAAAATTCATTGTTATGTTTCTTTCAGAGCAGCATTCACAGAGATGTGTGTGTTAACTGATGTACTAAATATAATTAAAGAAAAGAGGTATATGGTAGCTGATCCTGTTTCAAATGAAGCACCAGAAAATAAATCTTCTGTGCTCTTATTAGCTAAAAAGAGGGTAAGGAATTTTATAGTCTTTAAACCTTTTTATCCCTGAAACTAGAAAGCTGAACACTTACATGCAAGTTTTGTGTTATATTAACCTTGGTGTAATACAGTACATACTGAGACGTATTAATGTGATGTAAAAATGTTTTCAAGTCAATCTCAAGTGTTAAGATTTACATTGAATGATACTGAATTATGTATTTAAATTGTATTTCATTAAAATTAACAGCATTTTTCTCTTTAACCATCTTGTTGATGGGGCATGTGTTTGCTTTTGAGAAAAGACTAGTTCTGGTAGCTGATCGTACCAAGGATCATGGAGCTTGGAAGGAACTTGACTAATTACCTGTTATACTATTCTATTCTGTAAAGGGTCTTGTAGTTGCTGCTAATGTATTAATCAGTGGAGCTGAAAGATTGAAAAGATCTCATTCAGAACATTCTAACAGAGCTCAGAATGATTATTTTATTGAGTTGTTGAAGTTAAGACAGAACTGGAGGTTAAAAAAAGTTGGAACATCAATATTGGGAGATTTAACTTATAAATCAGGTAGATTCACATTATATCAGTGTAGGATAGATCTATATCTAAAAGGTATTAGGGGGTGAAAGCAGACGCCAGATTGACTCTCATCAGAAGCACTGGTACAGGCATCAGATTTTTTTCTTACCTTGATGAGGATTCCATACTTATCACATAGTTAAACAACATTAGAGTTCATTTGCTTATTCAGAACCTTTCGTAATGGCTTTCAATATGTATAAAGCCATCATGTGATTGGATCACAACAGATGTTTTTCTTGCAGCTGGTTCTAGATTTTTACAAAGTGGTACATTTGAAGTAACAAAAGTAATAGAAGAAAAAACAGATGGCGATGGTAGTCATTCTAGAGGATCATTAGAAGTTGTGATACCTAGTGAATTAGAGGGTGTAGCTTATATACAAGTTGATGTCAAGTCTGTTCCAGGTAATATTCTAGTGCCATTTGATTTTCAGTAGATCTAAAAAAAAAAAGAAAAGCATCCAAAGGTCTGACATTGAATTCTCTATGAAACTGGTCTTAAAGTGTTCGAGTTATATTGAAAGGGATATCAGACACAAAATTTAAATTCCTAAAAGTGATAGCCAACTGATAAAGTAAATATCTTAAGTAGAATATCTCTGTATATGTTGTTTATTTGAATATGTATATTGTGACTTACTGTTTTATCAATCTCCAGATTTAATGGATTTAACCAGTGTAACATTAAAGATGCCTGCTGGATTAGGTGTTATTAGGTCTGATGCTTATTGGCAACAAAAACTAGAAGTAGCACAAAATGTTCTCTTCTGTAAAGAACTCTTTGCTCAGGTTGGTATGTTTGGAAATTTTGTTACAGTCATATGAATAAGTCTTCCGCTTTTATGTGTTCACAAAAATGATGGTTGATAGTTTTGTGGTATTGATGAACAAAAGGTCAATGAATAAGTCAAAAATATGTATGCTTGTTTTAAATATTAATGTGTTGATGAATTTATAAGGGCATGTCCTTATGAAGGAATAATTAGTTGTTTACTTTTATACATGAAACATCCTGCTTTGTAAATAATAGTTAAGCTAGTTTCAATTGTTTACTTGTTTATTAATATCTCAACAGTTAGCAAGAGAAGCAGTTCAAATTAAAAGTTCTACACCACATATGGTAGTTGGTAATCAAATTATTACCAATGTAAGTATATATCAAATTAACAGATATGAACTTTAAATTTCTACATAATTTTTAATATGCTCATATTCCATGTTATATGTATTTTGAAGCCATAAAATACAATTGTAAAATGTGTTCAGATCAAGAAACTATTTATCTTATCTAGTTGAATCCTTACAATGACATATAAATAAAGATTATTATTTTCTGATTTTGTGATTTCAGGCATTTCCAGGAATTCAACTTTCTATTGTACTTTGTCATTATACTGGGAAGGAAAAAAAGGTAATAATGATTGTTCTTACACTTTATGCTTTTTTTTTTAATTCCAATTATTTCCTAAAAAGTCATATTTGTTTTGTTTTTTTTTTGGGTTTTTTGAAAGATGACTATCAGGGAAGGGTAGATCTAGATCATAGAATCTGATTATGATCAAAAAGTGAAATCAACAAGCAGATCTTACTTTGAGAAGCCCAAACGAAAAATTTCAAGTCTAACTCCCTGTTTAGAAGTGCATAATTCAAAAACAATATCAATATGCTGTTATTCTGTAAAGGCATTTATTCATGTTTTTATTTTCAGACTCCACAAGCTCCCCAGAAGCTAGAACACAATCATGTTTTAGAACATTCTCTGCATCAGCTATTACGAGAAGTACATTATAAGAATATTAACTATGTTCCACCACATCCTGTTAATGCTATGTTAGGTATGAGTAAAAGACGAAGGTTGGCAGGACCACTTGGCACTTCGAGAAGAGAACTGGTAGAAATGAATGTCAGGTGTGTATTTTTGAAATGCTATTGTCTATTAGGCCATATAAGAGTTATATGTCAACATTTGGATGAACATTTACTCTCAGTTTATCAAGTATTAAATTTCCCCTTACCAAACAAGCTGTCTCAGTGACTATACATTTGAAACTTATGTCATCAGTATAAGAGAAAATCTTACCAATATAATCAGAGACCAGACTCTTCATACTGTAGAATATCTTCATTTTTGACTTCTGGCTCAGTGAATTCCTTTGCTCATATGCCTAATCTATTTATACAGATGAATTGATGTCTATTTCATAGTATGCTGGGTAAAAACTATCAAGATTAATCAAATCAAATGACATTTTTTCATCAAAACCGATCAGTTTCTTCAAATTCTTCAACTTTTTATTTGTAGGGAGACATTATTGGAGCAGATTATTAAACAAACAAAACATGCAGTATTAAGATTACGGTAAGTCTTTATTACAGTATAGGGCATGCAAATTGTGCAGCATTCATTACCTCTCAAATGAATTGGAAGCTCACAGTAGGAAAAACTGGCAATTATTCCACTTGACTTATATGTTTGTTTTGGTGACTTGATTTTGACTAAAGCAACATTAACCTATGTAACATTTGCATCATCTTTCTTATCTTCTTGTACTTCAGGACAATGCATGTATTAGATAAACTAGCTATCTTATCAGATCCACAGATAACAGCTCATTGGAGTTGTTTAAACAGTTCATTAGAATGTAGTGTTCGAATCAATATTACTACTGCAGGTTATGAAATAGTCAGGTAGGTTTTCTTTCTTGTTAATTTGACAGCATAGTATTATGTTTTAGGTATTGCAGAGTTAGCAAACATGGTTGGAGAGAATGTGGTGAAATAATATAAACATGTAAATGATATTAAATTCATGAATGATCAGCTAAGTGGCCACATTGGTAAAATGTCAGAAAAAACTTGACATATTAACCAATGAATTATGTTAAACGTAGTTGAAATAAAGATTTTAACAAAACTAATTCAAATTTATTCTGCAACATGCTACAAAAGAAATCAAGTGTGTATATATTCAAGTGATTTACAGCAGTTTTGTTGAATTAAAAATTTGTTTGTAAAATGATATATGTTGTGTTTTTTAGGTCTAACAGTTTAGTATTAATAATAGAAGTTGATAATATACAGGCTATACTATTAAAAGATAGTAAAACTATAACTCTATCATTTGAAGATAAAGCTTTACAAGATTTAATATTGTGGCAGGTAGGTGGTAAATATTGGTTTCTCTGATCAAAAATGAAGCAGCAACATCATATTTCTAATCATTTTACTAACTTCAGTTTTTTTTTCCAAATATAACTTCCATGGCTATGAATCCCTTTCATCAAATCTAATCTAATGCCATAAATCTGCAAATGTTTTCGAATCAACTGTTGGTGGAACGTGATTCTCAAGGATAAATTTGAGACAATTTGAAATGAGTATTTTCTCAATCTATGACAATTGTATAATTGCTTATCTCTTTCTTTGTAGGTTTCCCAGCATCACATTCAAGTAGTAACACATTTAGCTAAATGTCATTCATGGACTGTGATTTCTACTAATTTAAATGTTGGTATAGGTGATATTGATGTGTATGGTACAGCTACCTCTATTATGATGTCATCACCACGAGGAGATAAGTATGTAATGCACAATACATTATTTTACTATGCTTACTTGGGTTAGAAAACACCTTTCAGCGACCATCACTGCTTTTTCAGGTTTTTTGAGATTTTAGGATCTTTCTTATTAAAATTGTCTATTCTCACCTCTGGGCTCTTGGTTACATTTTCCTGCTATGGTTTTGATCTTGTGGAAGTTTTACATTATAAAGAGCTATGCCACAATAACAAATTTCATAATAGTTTCATAATTAAATTAGTAGAGGGATATACATTTTGTGTGGAAATATTAAAACGGAATCTGAAACATGTTGCAACTTTGAATGGGGTTCTGTTTCGATATTTCTCAAGAGCAATGTTGTGTAGATTTGACACATTCATCACAAAATATTGACTTTTATGGAACTTGCCTTGTTTAATGGTTGACATTTTAAAGTGGCAGCTCTTCAAACAGATAGATAACATTAAGTAAAGTTGTTTCGATGTTATATTTTTCAGGGTACTTTCTCTAAAGAGTGGAGCCTATAATAAGATACAGATGTTTTTAAAGGAAGTGACATCATCCGAGTTAAATAACCTTTCCACAGCTGTTGTGGATCCAAAATGGCAGAAAATTATGGGAACATTTAAACAGATCGATGTAGATAGACTACAAGGCAAAACATTTGCCCAGAAAGTTGACATGTTAATGGCTAAGTTGTCAACAATGAGCTGAACTCACATCAGGCTTAAAGGACAAAATGTGGGTGATATGATTAACCCTAACTGCCATGGTTGCAAAATTGCCAAATTTTAACTGTGTGACTGCCATTTAAAAAAGTGATGAAATTTTTCTGAAATATCAGTAATACTTAAGCCACATGCTTTAAAAGAAGTCCTATTTTAAATAAATGCAATAGTTAAAAACCTATCATAACTGTTTATTTAATGAACAGGTCTTCTAAAATGCTAAATTTCGCTTTACATAAACTGCAATATGCAGGTCATCAGTATGATAGGTACTGGGGTACAAGCACTTAGTAAAAATACAGTATACTATCTGAATGCCTGGCTTGAGTTAATTTCATAGTTGTTGAACAAAATTGGAACATGTCTGTTATTCTTGTCTGTCAAGTGGATATTTAGAACTAAATTAAGAGATTTAAGGGGTAACCTCATGCAATCCTAATTGATTATTAGATTGATCAAAAAACTGTTAGACTCTTGAGAACTGATTTAAGACTGTTACAAAATATGTTCACGTTTTTGGGAATATTTGAACGAATCCAGCCAGTTTATATATATCTCAAATAAACAAACTCAAAAAGGCATGTTGTTTCGACAACCCAGTTGCAGATATTGGCGCTATGCAGGGTATGCTTACACTTCTAGACACCTGATACCACTTTTCATTATGAAATCCTTACTCACTTATGATTGATATACTTCCTCGTGTTAAAAGATCATTTGCTGCTACCAATGTTTCGTCAAAATATTGTTTTGGTTTCCGTTTCGGGTTTGGATAGTTTGTATTTGGTTTATTTATTATTGTCCAGAAAGGTAATCATGTCCTACCTTGCTGCCACAGTGCTTATTGTAATGGAGCTAACATTCAATAATGTCTTTGTATGTACATGGATTAAAGAGTGTAAAGCTATCAGGAAGATAAAGGACAATCTTTTCCACTAGAGAGTAATCAGCCTGGTATCAAATAAACAATATTTACTATGTTGATTCCAGATGGTGAACAACATTTCTGTTTTTAAACTATTACTCTGAGGCTATAGATAATCTTATATTGTTATTCCCTTCAAAGAGCATTTCTTAAATGTTCAAATTATGTCAAATTTCAGTACCATGTTTATATATCTATGTTTTGTATTAAGCATAGTACATCTCCATTAATTTAATTGTTGTTCATCCTTAATAATATTGTACATTATTCATCATCATATGTCAGTAAAAAATATACTGAAATAAAAATCAGTGTCATGAATTGTGTTATAGTGTTCTATAATAAACCCAGGTCCTGTCTCGCACAGGTTGGGATTTAAGACCAATATTTGCTCTAAATATTTGCACCCATCTGAAGTTGTTCTGTTCCACATTTCAAGTTCCTGCCGCGCAAACTGTCTGTTACAGCACTTTTAGTGTCAGACTTTTTCCCAAACCAAAATACAAGCGATTAAAAATAAGGGTGAATCTTCAAAGTCGATTTTCTCGAAAGTTTTCAAAAATTCTGAATTTCTCTTTCCGACGGAAATAGACGCAAGACATGTTCAACTTTCATTCAATACAAAATTCATACCTCTTGGGTCCATATTAGCCGAGTTATGGCCATTTAAAGATGAGGGTGTGGGTCAGCCCCCAGCCTATATACGGACCTATACACAGTCTCGCTGCAGAGGTTAGGGTTAGGACCAAAACTTTGACGGACTGCCGTTCGGAAACTATCAGAGATGTAAAGTTGCAATTTGCACTGAATATTTGCACCCATCTTAAGCTGATCTGTTCCAAATTTCAAGTTCCTGCCGTGAAAACTCTGCCTATTACAGCACTTTTAGTGTCAGACTTTTTCTCAAACCAAAATACAAGCGATTTACCTCTTGAAAAAAAGGGTGAATCTTCAAAGTCGATTTTCTCGAAAGTTTTCAAAAATTCTGAATTTCTCTTTCCGACGTAAATAGACGCAGGACATGTTCAGCTTTCATTCGATACAAAAATCATACCTCTGGGGTCCATATTAGCCGAGTTATGGCCATTTAAAGATGAGGGTGTGGGTCAGCTCCCAGCCTATACGGTCCTATACAGTCTCGCTGCACAGGTTGGGGTTAAGACCAAAACATTGACGGGCTGCCTTTCGGAAACTATTAGAGATGTAAAGTTGCAATTTGCACTGAATATTTGCACCTATCTGAAGTTGTTCTATTCCAAATTTCAAGTTCCTGCCGTGCAGACTCTGCCTGTTACAGCACTTTTAGTGTCAGACTTTTTCATAAAAAATTCACGAAATAAAGGCGAATTCGTGAACAAAAAATGTCAAAAAAAGCAAATTTTTAAAAGCGTTTCCCCCAAAAAGTTCTTCACCCCTTTTTCTATCAAGGAAGAACCTTCCCCAGGGTTCTCCTTCCCCAGTCTCAAAATAATACTGCTTTATTTTTGGTCCGTCTCCTATATTGAGTCCCAGAAAACCATGCACGTTTGTTTTGAATGCGGGGGTCTGAAAAATTGAAAGCCTGTGTTTGGAGTCAAAATTCACTTAAACAGAATTATTTTTAGATCGCCCCCCCCTCCAAAATTCTTTCTAGCCCCCTTTTTGTCTCATTTGCCTCCAGGGAAAACCCCTTTCCGGAATTCCTCTTCTTCATTCGCATTTTTAAAATTGTTGTCTATTATCCGTCGCCTATATTATAGTCCCACTTAACCAATGAACCATGAACGTATGTTTTAAATGTAGGGGTATGAAAATTCATATAAACGACACACTTACAAATAAAACAGTGTCATATATCCTTGAGAAGATATTTTAAGCAGTTTCATTAATTTATTTCATGAAAATGAATTTAAATGCAATTTTCTAATTATTTTTCATGTAGGAAATTTTATAGAACGATTTTAATAAACAATGAGACAGCATACTTTAGACTAATACCTGGACAATTAGACAATATTACACAGAATGAATATGAAAATAACGGATATATATCATAAAATCATAACAAAAATATAGGCACTTGAATTACAAAGAAGAGTTTTAATCTTTCACGTAATATATAATCTTAATATAATATAATAATATACACCAACTTACTTTGTATAGCATTATATATATAGTAGGGAAAATAGATCAATGTGTGAAACTCTGAGTAACTCTATTTCATTATTTCTATAATTCTTTTTTAACAGTAGTAATTCTATATCACTCAACAACTGATGTATTGAGTACTATTTTAACAGTGGTATTTCTATATTGCTCTACAATTGATGTATTGAGTACTATTTTAACAGTGGTATTTCTATATCACTCAACAATTAATGTATTGAGCACTATTTTAACAGTGGTATTTCTATATTGCTCTACAATTGATGTATTGAGTACTATTTTAACAGTGGTATTTGTATATAGTTCTACAATTGATGTATTGAGCACTATTTTAACAGTGGTATGTCTACATCGCTCTATAATTTATGCATTGAGCACTAATTTAGCAATGGTGTTTCTATATCGCTCTACAATTGATTATTGAGAACTATTTTAACAGTGTATTTCTATATTGCTCTACAATTGATTATTGAGCACTATTTTAACAGTGGTATGTCTACATCGCTCTATAATTTATGCATTGAGCACTAATTTAGCAATGGTGTTTATATATCGCTCTACAATTGATTATTGAGAACTATTTTAACAGTGTATTTCTATATTGCTCTACAATTGATTATTGAGCACTATTTTAACAGTGGTATGTCTACATCGCTCTATAATTTATGCATTGAGCACTAATTTAGCAATGGTGTTTCTATATCGCTCTACAATTGATTATTGAGAACTATTTTAACAGTGTATTTCTATATTGCTCTACAATTGATTATTGAGCACTATTTTAACAGTGGTATGTCTACATCGCTCTATAATTTATGCATTGAGCACTAATTTAGCAATGGTGTTTCTATATCGCTCTACAATTGATTATTGAGAACTATTTTAACAGTGTATTTCTATATTGCTCTACAATTGATGTATTGAGCACTATTTTAACAGTGGTATGTCTACATCGCTCTATAATTTATGCATTGAGCACTAATTTAGCAATGGTGTTTCTATATCGCTCTACAATTGATTATTGAGAACTATTTTAACAGTGTATTTCTATATCGCTCTACAATTGATTATTGAGAACTATTTTAACAGTGTATTTCTATATTGCTCTACAATTGATTATTGAGAACTATTTTAACAGTGTATTTCTATATTGCTCTACAATTGATGTATTGAGAACTATTTTAACAGTGGTATTTCTATATACCTTTACTATTAATTCATTGATCACTATTTAACAGTGGTATTTCTATATCACTCTACAATTGATGTATTGATCACTATTTTAACAGTGGTATTTCTATATCACTCTACAATTGATATATTGAGTACTATTTTAACAGTGGTATTTCTATATCACTCTACAATTGATATATTGATCACTATTTTAACAGTGGTATTTCTATATCACTCTACAATTGATATATTGAGTACTATTTTAACAGTGGTATTTCTATATCACTCTACAATTGATGTATTGAGAACTATTTTAACCATGGTGTTTCTATATTGCTCTACAATTGATGTATTGAGAACTATTTCAACAGTGGTATTTCTACATCACTCTACAATTGATGTATTGAGAACTATTTTAACAGTGGTATTTCTATATTGCTCTACAATTGATGTATGGAGCACTATTTTAACAGTTATATTTCTATATCATTCTATAATTAATGAATTGGGCACTATTTTAACAGTGGTATTTATATATCATTCTACAATTGATGTATTGACCACTATTTTAACATTGGTATATCTATATCACTCTACAATTGATGTATTGAGTACTATTTTAACAGTGGTATTTCTGTATCATTCTCCAATTGATGTATTGAGCACTACTTTAACAGTAGTATTTCTATATCATTCTAAATTGATGATTTGAGCACTATTTTAACAGTGGTATTTCTATA